TGCAGATTCTGCATGTAGTAGAAAGTAACGAACGTGATCAAAACATACATATTTGGATTCTAGCAAAATTCTTTTATAGAGTAACAAAGCGTAAACAGAACAGTCACAGCGCGTATGCAGGAAATTTTGCAGAAGTGCCCATTAAACGTTAAACATTTAAAAGTAGTGCATTTATTACGTTTCCTGAATGTAGTTAAATTATACTGTATATGTCTCTAAGTTAATAGATACTTTCTTATTATGGTTTAGGAATTTCTATGATCCTGAAAAGCGTGTCTATTTAATGATGACGTGTCGAATAATTTAACTGAAATTGTACATATGGGGCCGTTCAAGTATTACGTGAGCACTCTGGGGGGGCGGAGGGTCTTTGCGTTGCTTATTTTGGATGACATGGTGAGTAGGAGAGTCTAGATGATTACGTCATGGGTAGTTACTTACTTTTTTACACGAATGGCAACCATCACATTGTCTTTGCTTGAAAACTAAACGCATTTTCGGGGATTCACGCTAATAATGCATACGTTTAGTGAACAGCGCGCTGTAATTCCCCTACTCGATTTAGAACCGAGTATGGGAATTACAGCGCGGCGTTCACTTGTCTAAATTTCCTCTATCAGTGTATTGTTTCGTTTGGATACTATAGCGACTAGACGTATTGTAAGCATAGTAAAGCAAGCTAACATTTGTGTTACCGTTGATTCCATCAGCCAAAGTTTAATGTTTAAATAAGATGTCGTTTCACATAGACAAATCCAAGTTATACACAAAAATTGTTTGAAAGTTCAAAAAATCTCATACAAGTACGAAAGTATAAAATGTACAAAAGTTAGTTAACGAAGTGTGGCGAAATTACAAATTACAAGCAAAATCCGACAAGGAACTATATATTGTTGTATCTAAGAGAATCGAAGAAGAATTGCAAGCGGCGACTAATAATAACTCCAATCTACTAAATTTCTTGTCTAAGCTGAGTGACGAAATCATTTTAGGTACCTATGAGTACTAGAAATATTAGAAATCGCCAAAAATTTTCTCTTTACTGATTAGAAAATATTATGGCCTATCTCAGTATATAGTATAGAGGCAATATTCATTATATTATAGATTTATTTCCTATGATTGATTCCGTCAATTGGTCACAAAGTACAGGATGTTACTTTTATACATATATACAGAAAACTAACACCCTGTATTTTGTGACCGGAACGAATTGCTCGTTTAAACATATTAGATTTAAAGTCATAGGGTTTTGTATTTACCATACATATTGCCATACTTTGTATTTATGTAGTTTAATAAGAGAATCTTTAGCAGAAGCCATAGAAAGTTTTTATTTTTAGGCAACCTGTAAACCTGCAGAAAAAACACAAATTACACAGTCAGCTTCAAATATTAAAAAAAAGGAACAAGATAAAATAAAATCCGGTAATGAATCATAACAGCAATGCGAAATTAATGAAAATACAGATAAACAGAGAGCAAAACCTTCTCAGGAAGCTATGAAAAATAAGATTGCACTACTCGAAAAAAATCTGAATGCTTTGTATTCTGCCAGAGATACTATGCCAAGCCGTGCTGAAGTTAATAAACAGATTATTAAGTTGCGCGAGGAAATAAAAACAGCAAAACAGTCTTTAAACAGGAAGGTTCAAAACGCAGTTGCCCAGAAGAAACACAGGGATGGTATGAAAAATCCAGAAATAAAAAAAGACTATCTCTGAAGGATTCAGTGGGCCGTCCTAATCTTGAAAGCATTCACTATTGAAAACAATCGCGGATATAGCTTTATTTGGGAGTGCAGCAGATGATAGAAGACGAACGGAATCAATTCGCAGCGTAAAAACTCTTGATCAACAAGAATTACGTAAAATAGGATTTGACATTAGTCGCAGTGGGACATATCTTCGTTTGATTCCCAGAAAATCTAATTCTGCAGAGGGACGAAGACATGTATCGACAGTCCCTGTTAAGCTCATTCGGGCTCAAACTGATCACCACAAGAGCCACTTAGAAAGCAAGTTCGCTGAAACATCAATCCATTATTTAGAGAACATAGCATCCATACTTGGACCAGATCAAATACATGTATTTTTCATATCTCAAGATGATAAAGCTCGAGTCCCTATTGGCGTAACTGCGGCAAATAAACAAGCACCTCTTCTAATGCACATGGAACATAGAATCAAATTGCCTGATCACGATTGGGTAATCGCTGAGCGTCATAAATTAATACCATCTATTTATGCTGGTATCAAAATCACTTCCAATATGCTAGGACAACCGCAAGCCGTTGGATATTCTGGACCAACATACACCGCTATTCGAAGTGGAAAGCATAGTTCATCTACTGCTAATACTCATGCTCAGGATTTCGAGACGCTTCTCGAACTTGAAGAGTTTCGACCATTAGCTAAAACTGACCATGGACTAGTAAAACCAGTGGTAATCATGACGGTTGATGGAGGGCCAGATGAAAATCCACGTTTTCAGTCATAGGGTTTGCTATACAACACTTTAAGCGACATGATCTCGATGCATTGTTTTTAGCTACCAATGCTTCTGGAAGAAGTGCGTATAACAGAGTAGAGCGCAGAATGGCTCCTCTTAGTCGGGAACTGGCTGGTTTAATATTACCTCATGACCATTTTGGGTCTCATTTGGATGAACGTGGCGTTACAATTGATGAACATTTAGAAAGATCTAATTTAATAATAATAATAATAAAATTGCTTTTATTGCTCATGTAAGTACAGAAAAAGAAAAAGTACATAAATTTAATGCAGTGAGCAAACGGCAAGGTTCGCTTGATTGACAACCATTAGTTGACAATGCGCGCTCTTCCACCTAACCAAAAAAAAAAAAAAATAAATAAAGTAGTATATCAGTAATAATAATAACAGCAAGAGAAAATTTGAACGTTAACACAGATACATATAGACATATTATGTTTATAACTATATATTATATTATACATCCATAGATGACATATAACTGTTGCAGGCACCTTGGTAAAACCTATAATATAAAACGAGTTGATGCTTGAATGAGATTGCTAGAAGTTGTAGCTAATATCTTATGAAGGGAAAATGTCAAAGATCAAACGAAAAAGACTCCTTGACTTTGTCTGGTTTCTGGGCAACCAGGACTGACAGATTCGAATAACGTACATCAGACAGTGAGTAATGGGCAAAGGTCCTACGGACCGCCCAGACAGATAAATGACGAACAGTACGAAAAAGACATACAGAAGAATAATAGGCAAATCAGCGTGCAGTGTTAAATTTAAGTCATCTCAAGTCTCAACATAGTCTTCACTTCTCGCTTAAATCTCAAAATTGATAGGGCTTTAATTCTATCAGGCAGCGAGTTGTAAACCTTAACAATGTCATATGAAAAAGAGCACTTATAATTTGAAGTTTTAAATTTAGGTAGTGAGAGATGATGTTTAAACCTCGTGTTACGACTATGCACTTCTGTATGGGTCTTGATCTTCTTGTAAAGATAGGATGGTGATTCAGTATTGAGTATCTTGTGGTATAGTACGGATCGATGAAGGAACCTTCTTTTCTCTATATTGAGCCAACCTAAGTTCTTTAAATGAAGAGATATCGGCTGCCGCCTTCTAATACCACTAACAAACCTGACACAAGAATTTTGAATACGCTGAAGGCGCGCCTTATCTCGATGTAGCAATGACGGGCCGTACGCGCAGTCTGCATAGCTGAGGTGAGAAAGAACTAAAGACTCGCACAATATTATTTTTGTTGTCTTGGTTATTATGCTTCTGCTATTGTACAGCAGTTTCAATGATGAAAATGCCCTTTTGGTTATAAGAGAGACATGCTGGGAAAAGCGTAGATCTGTATCCATAATAACCCCTAAATTTTTAGCGGAGTTTGTAAAAGTTATTTTGTCTTGTCCGAAATAAATGTCTAAATTATTGGAGTATAGTTCACGATTCTTGTTTTTACCAAATAGTAGAGCCTTAGATTTAGTGGCGTTGACGGAGAGACAATATTTTTTTGTTAGCTGATAAAGAACCTGAAGGTCCTCATTTATGTTACTTAAAGTTCGGTTTATATCTGATTCATTAAAAGCAATATATAATTGAGTGTCATCGGCGTAATAGTGATATGAGACGTGTTTAAAACTTTTGTGCAGCTGAGAGGTATACAGAGTGTACAAGAGTGGACCTACAACAGATCCTTGAGGTACACCTCGACAAACTTTAGACAATTCGGATGTTTCACCAAAGCATTTGACAACTTGTGCCCGATCTTTGAGATAACTTCTTAATAAATGAACCGCACTTTTAGAAAAACCCAAGTAGTAAAGAACAGCAATCAGTAGATCATGGTTTAGCTTATCAAAAGCCTTCGAAAAATCTAATAAGATTAAGATGCATAGGTTGCCATCATCAATGTATTTGCGGATATCATCTGTTACTTTGAGCAAGGCTGTTGTGCAGCTGTGACCTGATCTGAACCCTGATTGGTTTTCTGGAAGAATGTCATTTTTAGCAACAAAGTCCCTCATTCTAGCATCCAAAATCATTTCGAAGACCTTTGATGGAGTACATAGGATGCTGATGGGTCGAAGGTCGCCCACATCTTCAGGGTTGCTCTTTTTTGGTGTGGGAATAAATTGTGCAAGCTTCCAAATTTTGGGTATTACATTGAATTTTAGACAGTAATTAAAAATATGCGTGAGATATGGTAAAATTGTAGGGCAGCTGTACAGCAGCATTTCGAATTTACAGGAAATGTATTAGCTGAAGTATGGAGTTCAATCGAAATTGATGACTCTAATGTTAATGCAAAATATGTTGGGGCAGGTGAACAAGATCTTCCTGATTTTCCAGACATTAAATGGTATTCAGAACGTGTGCGTGAAAGCCAATACTTGCTTCAAATTGTAAAATGTAGAAATTCAGAATGCTGTCGTCCAAGAAGTGGCCTATTTAGATTACTAGACAATAAATAGGTTTCTTCCACCACCTGTAAAAGTAAAACAAACAGTTGAAGACTTGGTTTTGGATGAAGGAGGGCAATTTCTTAATCTTCCAGTCAATTTAGCTCTACGCTTAAGTGCTTCACTGAAAGATTTCCTGCAAATGCCCTACGATTATTTTTATCCGACGGTAAAATTGAGCTATCAAGTCGAACATGCAAAACGTGTGGTCTTTATCATGCTTCCGTCAAGTCACTAAATCGACACATCGAAAATATCCATAAAAAAGTAAACACGCACCCTGATAGGAAAGTTAGACCTGTAAGAGTCGCTGCTCGTAGTGCTAATGAACTGATGTGCATTATTCACAATTCAGAGCACCATGATGTTGAATGGCTCGATGAGAACGACGTAGACATTCCAAAATCCGATGACAGCGAGCAAACTCACAACACTGAGCAGCAATCGAAGCAATCCAATGTCATCGAAAACTTAGAATCATGGATTCGGGTTTCATGGACTGAAGACTGTTAATTTGAATTTAATATATGTACCAAAAATTTAAAATACGTTTGTTATGTTAGTAAGATATAATATTTTTACTTTTCTCCTCATGACCTCCTCATTCTAAACAAGGACCAGATAACACGTACCTTCGAGTACTGCTCACATGTTATGCTGTGAGACTGATCGATGACTCTTCTCCAACCGACAGTCCCGGGGCGCTTTCGTACCGGCAGGCGGGTAATATAACCCCGACTTACGACGTTTTCCTTACGACCATTTCAATGGAAACAGCCAATTTTCTGCTTGAGGACACAAGCAAAGCGTCTAGATGTTATCAAGTTCACCAGCAGCCGCAAGGTGTATGTCTAACCGAGAAGGAAGTGCACACAAACACACATACACATAACGAAAGTGAAATACATTATGTAATATTATGGTTTCTCTCCGACCGATGGCAGCGTGACCCCAATTGCCAGGTAATCAGCTATGAAGACGTCCGAAATGTAAAGTACACGGCGCCCACAGATAATCATCAATGCTGTCACTTATTATGTATACTAAGTGACATATAAATCCGAACACCTAGTACTTAATGAAGCATAATAAGTAAATGATAAAAATTTCAAAATCATTGCACTGCTTTAAAGCCCTTTGACCTTTAATAATGTGTGGATGCACCCTGATGTGCTACGCATTCTCCAACGCGCCTAGGCATGCTTCTGATCAGGTGGTCAATGTCCTCCTGTGGTATCTCATTCCAGGCAACCACCAACTCCTCTCGAAGTGCTTCTAGAGTCTGAGGAGGACGTTGCAAATTGAGCAATCTCCTACCCATCATATCCCACACGTGCTCGATTGGGGATAAGTCGGGAGATCTTGGTGGCCATGGTAACAATGTGACATCATTATGTTGAAAGAAGTCTATTGTGACTCTTGCAACATGTGGTCGGGCATTATCTTGTCGGAAAGTTGGATCTGCCAGGGTGTCAAGATAGGGTAAAAGATGGGGTTCTAGAACTTCGTGGATATAACGCTGCGCGTTCATGTTACCTCTGATGAAGATTAAAGGTGACCTGGAACCATAAGCTATAGCACCCCAAACCATAACTCCAACAGTGTGATGAACATGTCTTTCAACAAAAAACTGTGGATTCCTCCTTTCACCACGTCGCCTTCTAACCCTGGCACAACCATCGTGCATGCCTAAACAAAATCGAGACTCGTCACTAAAGACAATACTGTTCCATTCCTGATCCCAGAGTGACCGTTGTCTACACCACTCAAGGCGATTACGTCGGTGTTCTCGAGTTAAAGGGAGGACCCAGTGTGGCCGGTATGAAAACAAGCCAAAACTTCTCATTCGTCGGTAAACACTTCGCATGCCAATAGGTCTTCCGTGTTCTGCAAACCATTCATTTGCAATGGACCTGGTAGTGAAGAAACGGTCCCTTAAGGCCAATAATCTTCACGGTCTGTTGTTCTACGGCGGCGTCCAGTGCCCCTTGCTCTTTGCGTACGGCCTTCTCGAAACCATGCCTGACAACACCTAACTACAGTGTCTACACTTCTTTGCACTCTAACTGCAATTGCCCGAAAAGAAGGTCCAGCTTCCCGAAGTCCCACTATACGGCCCCTATCAAACTCACAAGTTAACGAAATCGTACAGGTCTCCGTACTCTAGGCATCGTAACCGATCGTAAAGGATGTCAAGAACCAAAATCCGCCAACGTTGATTCTTTACTGCGGCTGAAATATTCATTTTTAGAGCGTTAGTGAATTAAAAAAAAGCAGTATAAAAACCGGAATGTCCAACTGATAAAGCTGAAAATTTTTTCACTTGTTATTTACAGTAAGATAAATACATTCACCAACTTTTATTAAAATAAAGCCATAAACTGGGTGTTCGGATTTATATTTCACTTAGTATATAAATAGAGAAGAAATAGAAACCAATCTGCTTGTGCTTACCTACATTCTTTGGACTGCTGTGCGAACTATACTTCTACTTCAACTATATTTCTTACCTGAAAAAAGAGAAATTGTCAATATCACTAAATTATCAAACATATGGTATTAACAAAATGTATGGTAATTAACTACTCACAACATAAACAAAAACGAACTAGCCCGTTATGAATACCATTTTAACGCTAAATACGCTCTTTGATTTCAATGCCCATAATGAGCTTTGGTTGGATCTCTCTCTGACCTCGCATCCTGTCCTTTAAAGCAGTGTCCAGGGGTGATTGGAGATAAACCGTTCTTCAGTTACTCTAGGCACTGATTACACACTGTTTTAGATATGTTTACATCTGACACATTGGAAAAATTCTTTATATCAAAAAAAAAATCGCCTACTGATTTGACCTAAAAAATGTACGTATCTTTTTCAGGTTGTGTGATCATGGAGTTGGGATCGTACAATCACCGACAGTAAGCAAGTCATGAACCTCATAACTCCTGGGAACAGAGAGAAGAAAGCAAGAACGGTGTTCAGAAGAAAAATGAAAAACCGCCCGCCCGATTAGCGAAAAACTGTTTTTCGGCTCGGGCATTTTTCTAGTCAAAATAAGGTAAAATCTGAAAATGAAATGGGCAACCACAAAACCTTCAAAAACCTATGGTTAACTGCGCTTATATTGAAACAAAAAGATCAAATAATGTCCATGAGAGTGTCCGCTGATCAACGATTTTTATTTTCAGTGTTTATGTCCGAAATGTTTATCGGATTTTTTTAATGAAGAAATTTATTTTAACAGTACGAGTCTTTTAAGTTTTGCATATAGAAACATCTTCAGTACTGAATCTTAACCTCACTATTTAGTAAACTTAAAGTCAAAGTTTCACAACAATACGTGAAGAGTTCTCACTACAGTGAATTTTTAAGCGTCACCAAGTCATTAGAAAAATGGAACTCGAGCGAGAACATTTTCGCGCCATAATTTATTACAACTTTCAGAGACAATTATCGCAACAAGAATACCTTGCTGAGTTACTGTCTTTTTTCGGCAACGAAGCGCCACATCAGTCGATAGTTTCTCGTTGGTATGGAGAATTGAAACGTGGACGGGTGAGTCTTAGCGACGATCCCAGGGTGGATGCACCAAAAACGGCAGTCACCCACGAAAACGTCGATGCTGTGCGCAAACTCATCATTGAAGATAGGCATGTGACATATCGCGAGATTGAGGCGTCCTTGAAGATCTTAAAGACCTCAATTCAAAAAATTTTACATGAAGAATTAGGAGTAAGAAAATTAGTTTCTCGGATACCCCACCTGTTGACTGAAGAGCAGAAAGCAGCCAGGGTTAATTGGTGTCAAAAAACGCTTGACCGTCTCAATTCCGAAAACTCAAAAAATGTGTACAGCATTGTTAGTGGTGTCAAAAGCGGGTCATATGGCAACAATTCCTCTTAATGAGCAAAGAACTGTTACTGCGGATTGTGTACCACCATTTGTTTGCCAAAAGTCATCACCGATGTTCGAAAAAGCAACCCCGAAAGAAAAATCATCTTCCACCAAAACTATGCAAGCTCGCACACAGCCCAAAAAACAAGACAGTATTTAACGGAAGAAAACGTGGAATTATTGCACCATCCTCCATATAGTCCCGATCTAAGTCCTAACGATTTCTTTACTTTCCCGAAAATTAAAAACAGACTGCGTGGTCAAAGGTTCCAGTCACCAGAAGAAGCAGTTGACGCATTCAAAAACGCCGTTTTGGATCTGCCAGCAAACGCGTGCTTCGAAAAATAGTCATTTAAAACTACCTACGGTGTTGTTTTATTTCCATATGCAAAACTTAAAAGACATCTCTCGTAACTACTTATCACAAATTACAAGTCAATAGTTAACTAAACTATACTATGTAATTGTGTGGAGTGGCCTTAATTGTTGTTTACCTTGGGCTTACCAGTAAATGCACTTGGTGCTTAATAATAATTATAAATAATTCACACGTCATCTTAAAGCGGAAGCGTCAAAATAAATTAATGACAACTGACAGTAAAGCAAGCGAACAAACTTTTGTTTCCAAAGGCAACTTGATATTATTTTGTGTCAGTTAAAATTAAAGATAATGAATTTTGTGTCAAAACTTTTAGGACGCACGTTACAATAAAAAATAATTTTAACTATATTATGTGGTTTGAAATATTGAGAATTGTAGAAAAGTGATACTAACGGGTGATTTTTTAAGAGGTATAGGATTTGATTTTCAAAAAAAACACAAAAAATTTGAAAAAACGATTAAATCTTTATTTGAGTCGATAGAACGGTCGATATAATTTAATGTTTAAAGATTATTTCATGTAAATGTTGGCCGCGGCTCCGCTTTAGATGGCCCATGCGCAAGGTCCAATTTTGGCACACTCTCTCAAACATATCGGCCGGTATCTCACGAATAAATGCTTCAATATTGGCTTCCAGTGCCTCAATCGTTACTGGTTTAGCCCTGTAGATATTAGCCTTAACATGGCTCCACAAGAAATAGTCCAACGGCATCACGATCTAGGCGGCCAAACGTGAGATAAACTGTTCACCGAACTCGCCTCTCAATAGGGCCATTGCTTCGTGTGCGGTGTGGCATGTGGCACCGTCTTGTTGAAACCACATGTCAGCCAAGTCCAGCTCTTCCATTTTGGACAAAAAAAAGTTTGTTATCATCGCACGGTAGCGCTCGCCATTCACAGTTACGTTCCGGCCATTGTCGTCTTTGAAGAAGTACGGCCCGATGATGCCACCGGCCCATAATCCACACCAAACAGTGATTTTGTCGGGATGCATTGGTGGCTCTTGCAATGCTTCTGGCAGATCTTCACTCCAGATGCGGCAATTTTGCTTGTTAACGTACCCATTCAACCAGAAATGAGCTTCGTTGCTTTTTTTTTTTTTTTTTTTTTTTATATATCGAAACAGCCGCGCAGGCAGAAGCCTAAATGCCGGAACACCGTGGCTGCTATGATGATCCCAAAGAAATTTTGTTAATACGATTTTTGAACTGCCTAAAGTTAGTAGAACTGGGAAAAGCTTCCTCCCGTAGATTGTTCCACAATCTAGACACCCTCGGGACAAAAGAGCGGTCATATCGGCCAGTTCTGGATGTACGAAGCTTGACACGGTTAGGATGGGACGCTGAAGTCAGGCGGGTCTGTCTGGCAGGCACATCGCGCGGCGGCAATATGGACGACAGCTCCGAGGAGCAAAGCCCGTTGGTGTAGCGATAGAAAAGAGCTAGATCGCCGACGACCCGCCGGTGCGAAAGAGTCCCGAGACTGTCTGTTAGAGAAGAGTCATCGATAAGTCGGACCGCCCTCCTCTGGACAGCATCGAGCATGGACAATGTAGTCGGGGCGGCAGCACCCCAAATGTGTGAGCAATACTCGAGGCTAGGCCTTATCTGGGCCTTGTATAGAGTGAGAAGGTCATGCGGAGAAAAGTACTTCTTAGCCCTAAACAAATAGCCTAGCTTTTTCCCAGCAGCTGCAGCTATTGAAGAGATGTGTTCGTGCCAGATCAGGTCCTCGGTGTTCTGGACTCCGACCAGCCGAAATGAATGGCTCTTTGGTAGAACTCGACCGTCCATCGAAACTGTATGAACGCTAGGACGCTTTTTGTTCGTCAAAGTACAGTACTGTGTTTTGGAAGCATTGAACTGTACAAGATTGTTGCGTCCCCAAGCAGTGATAGCCTCCAGGTCTCTTGTCAGAGAAGAAGTCGTCGCTAGTCTTCTTTTTTCCAGCTCAGCGGCAGAGATCGGCTTGTCACTCTGAATTCCTGCATGTAGAGTGCTGTCATCAGCGAAGCTGTGGATTGGGTTGATCGTGCAGGAAAGGAGGTCGTTGATATGTAAGAGAAACAGTGTTGGAGCCAAGACCGATCCCTGGGGAACACCCGCGTTGACGTTGTGGGATGAAGAGGAGAATCCGTCAATTACGACGGATATCTTGCGGCCAGAGATAAAGTCAGCCACCCATCTGCAAAGCTTTTCTGGGAGGCCGTAGGATGGAAGTTTGCTTAAGAGGGCAGCGTGCCACAGCTGATCGAACGCTTTCGTGATGTCAAGAGCAACGACATGAGCCTCACCATGAGACTGGATGAGTTTACTCCACAGTTGCGTGACGTAAGCTAGGAGGTCCCCTGTGGATCGTTGGTGCCGGAAACCGTACTGCCTGTCGCTAATCAAGCTGTGACGTTCGAGGTAGTCCAGAAGCTCGCGATTTATGCACCTCTCCATCACTTTACTTATAACGGAAAGCAGAGCTATAGGCCTGTAGTTGTAAGGGTCGGTCATAGATCCTTTTTTGGGATGGGCTGTACATGAGCAAATTTCCAGTTTTCTGGGAAGGTGCCGGATTCATAAGATATCTGGAAGAGACGCGAAAGAACTGGAGCAAGCTCCGCTGCACATCTCTTCAGTACAATGGCAGGAATCAAGTCCGGACCAGAAGCTTTGTTGATGTCGAGCGACAAGAGCACTCGTCTTACGGTCTTATGCCTGAATGTTACCTCCCGCATAGTGTGGGGAACCCTTTGAATTGACGGCACTTGGGCGTTGGTGGGGACGTCCATGGTGGAGTTGGCAGCAAAGATCTTGGCTAGCACTTCCGCCTTGGCCTTTGAGTCGAATACAATAGTTCCATCCTGACACGTAAGTGGTGGAAGGCTACTGTGTGAGAAGTTCTTTTCAATCTGCTTGGCCAGCGTCCAGAAAGACCGACTGCCATTGCGCTGCGACATTACCCTGTGCCTAACTTTTATATCATGCTGGTTTTTGGCATTGCGAACCGCTTCGTTATATTTGTTTCTGGACTCGACGTCGGCTTGTCTGTTCTCTACAGTGGGGTTTTGTAAGTAGGTTCTGTGGGCCTTGATCTTCTGCTGGCGAGCAGTGTCACACGATTTGTTGAACCAGCCGTTGGACCCTGGTTTAGGAACTTTCACTGTGTGAGGGATGTATTCCTCCATTCCGACGTGGATAATTTCGGTTATTGAAGAACAGACAGTCGACGCATCCGCGTCAGTGAAACAGACATCTCTCCAAGGAAAGCTAGAGAAGAAGTCTCTGAGCCCCTCCCAGTCGGCATGTCCGTAATGCCAAGTTTTGCGGCCTGTGCGAGTTTCTGCTACCACAGCGGCTTCTGGCCGAAACCTAACCTCCACAACACCGTGATCTGAGTTACCCAGGGGGGACAGGACAGCAGTGCTATAAGGGGCAGGATGCGTGGTCAGAAAGAGATCCAGCAGGCTACTGGCGTGTGATGAGACGCGGGGGAAAAAAGTAGGGCTCGTCACCAGCTGGGTCAGCCCTTGAGTAAGAGCGAACGCTTCGACTGCACGACCTGCTGCATCGGTCTTATTTGAGCGCAACCAAAGCTCATTATGGGCATTGAAATCACCGAGAAGAACTACCTCTGAAGCGGGGTGATTGATG